TCGTTATTAGATTTTCACAAAACTCTGGATAAAGCTGCTGCGATTTCGAATATTTGAAATTCTTGTAACTGTGCTTTTTTCATACTTTCATTGCAGTAACATTGAACGTGTTGAATATACCTCTATTGTTGCACAAATTTGTGTATCTCGATATTCTCTTTCCTCAACTATTTCTGGTGACGCTTCTTGAGCGTGACATTTTCTGCAATTTTTGAGGCAATAACAACTTTCAAATTTTTTAACAATATTATGAATTGACTGTACTTAAGGAATTGGTCTCTTTTCAAAAAATACAGAAAATAAATCTACACAGTGTTGTCTAGAATTACCACCATAAAACCATTTTAATATTTGAACTTTTTCTGCGGTCGTATAAATAGACCTGTTGTTTACAAAAATAAATTAAAAATCTACGCTGTTATCGCTTTAAACTTAAACAGTCACTGTATAATGGCAAATTATTGTCGACGGGTTAACGGGTGTATATCTAATTTAAAACGTAGGTACTGTATAAACATGAATTTTCTGTTTGTGTTCTGTTCTATTCTAAAAGAAGAGCAGGTATTCTGTCCAATTTATGGCGTATTTTGGTTTGGATGATAAATGCTTTCGAGAAGCATTGAAAGTATTGTTTGATAAAATTTTAAAAAATTCCTCAATTGAGGCAGTCTACGTGAGGACACATAGGACAAAAGTGGGTTTTGAGAAAAACCACTTTGAAATTTTAACTTGTTGCTATATATACTAATTTGTTGTTTAAAAATTGAGAACCTTACTACGCATTAAAACTATTTATGTAGAAAGCCATTTTCTAAGTATGATATCGATAAAAATAAAGCTTATGTTTAAAAATAAGGAAATACGAAAAACTGTTATGTGCCCTTTTTAGATAGAACAGGGGATTTTTGATTGAACGTAATTTGCATGTGAAGAAAAAGAAGCATTATAGAATTATATACTTTTTTTTTACATTACATATTATATTTTTAATACATTTATTAAATTATCCATTCAACATTTCATATTTAATGAAGTTTACATCTTCTTCATTTAGGAATCTGAAAAGGCTTGTAAAATCTTCAACTTTCTTCTGGTTTACCTCTGGTCTGGGATATTTAGTTGTATTGACAGTCTGAAACTGCTGTACTCCTTGTTTCCAAAATCTGTATAGTTCAAAGTTTTCTGTATAACTTCGGGAACATGAAATGGCACCTCTACGATCATATTTTATAATAACGTACATCATATTTTGAAGGGAACTTTGTGTCTGGGCATAATTTTAGGAAAGAAAAAAGGTTTAATGAAAGAGTCCTAATCTTGAAGAAGGACACTGTTCATTTTTACTTCAAATGGCGCAGGATTTTTCCTGCATGTTACCATAGCAGTAAGGTATGGCTTAGGACTTCCTATTACTTTAGCTTTGTTAATAGTCTTGTTGATCAAACCAAAATTTCTGTCACATTGGGAAAAGCTGTGGCATCTAACAGGAACCAGTTGTATGACAGTTTCTTGGAATATTCTTCCAAACCACTATGAAAATCTTATAACAGTTAAATTTCTGTTTTGTCCTCCTGCGGCATCAGATAAGAACACAGTAATTTTAATGGTAAAAAATTTACTTATCTGTATTTTAATACAATCAAATAAAAAAGATACCACAGAATTAGGATTATTCTTTCCATCACACTCAGTAAATGTATAGCAATAACTAGAGTCGGCGTTAAAAACATTAATGTTAAAACAGTACAACCAAAACATTCTTTTGTAAAATTGGGTATTGACATTAGCTTTGGTATTGGAAAATTTTGAGAACTCTAAAACCAGATGCGAGGAATTTTTTTCTTTGGATTTAGCAATATACATATTACGCAGTTCTTTTATTTGCTTTCCTTTTGTGAATTAAAAAAAAAAGGCATACATGGATCTTTATCATTGATATTTAGCTTGATTTTACATTCTTGACAATAAACGCTTACATCTGTTTTAGGTTTGCGAACAGAATAGGAAAACTTAGTTTTAAAGTACTGATAATATGCTTTGAGAGTTTCCTTTTTTCTTTTTTTTTTTTTTTTTGAAAAGGCCTGGAACAACTCATACAATGATTTTATATTTAACAAAGTGTTCTCAAAATATTGCAAATTACTCTTGTTTCTACAGTAATGACTTGATGGGGTATACTAGCCAAGTGATCCCCCATTAACACAACATCATCTGAAATGTTTCTGGGCCTATTCAAATGTTTTCCTCTTTTTTCTTCAAATTAATCTCCCAACAAGATCTTTTTTTGAATAATCCGTATGTGTTTATTGAAATTTGAAACAAGTCCAAAATAAACTTGTGACACACTAAAAGTGTTTCCTCTTACAGACATACGATAGGCCCAGGTGTGATCTCTTGTTTTTTTTTTTATTAAGAGATTTCCTTTTACTTTTGGGATCTTTAACCAGGTCCATACAGCTAGACAACTGGCTATTTTGATTTCCGGAAGAGGCAGATTTTCGTGGCATTTGTTCTGGCACCAGTCAGTAACTAAATTGAATGACTTGGAACTAACCTTCTGTCCTGACACAGATACGTATTCTTCACCTTGAACACGCCTTAATTTATTGGTTTCTTGTTTCTTATTTTTCTGTTTATGGATCACTTTCCTTTTCCTCTCCCCATCAGAGCTATTAACTTCTTGAACATCTTCGTAACTACTATATTCTCCATTGCTTATCATAGTTCTTATCAGAATAAAACTCGATGTAATAATATAATAGAATAATACTTATCAGAATAACAATACCGATACTTTAACCTCACTATAATATATTAATATTATATGACACATGACAAGTGATCGAAACAAATCAGAAGTGATAAATAGCTCTCCTATATAAAACACCTGCAGAAATCATTTATAAACAATCACGTATCTGAAAAAACATTCTGCACACTCATATTCAGACAGTTCCACCAACCTCATTTTTATAGATAAATAAATGAAAATTATACCATTGTAAAGGGGAAAACATGGCGGATCTAAATAGCCATTCTGCGTAAAAGGGCACATAAGCCTATGTGCCCTTTTCAGATCGACCGTCTCAGTTTAGATGTTTGTTAAAAAATATAGATCAATAACGTACTCGCATAATCCCTATTTTAAACTTTAACACTGCATGGATGTGGATGATTAACAATACAATATACACTTGAGTGCATAGAAATCGGCCCACTGTAAACATTTGACTTTAACTATATTTTTTTCAAGAAATATTAATCAGATCACAAAAACAAATATACTGTTTGAAAGACAATTTAATATGCTTTAATGTGAGTATAAATTTATCAAGAAGGCTTATCGTGTACATGCGTAGTAACCGGTAAACAAATGAAACGTGTTTATGTGGTGATTGTCACGAAAATAACAAATTTGTCTAATTGTAAAAGTATTGCCTTTGCAAGTGAAATTTGCATATTATTCGTTTTTCATAATCTCAGCAGTGTTCAAGTGTGCTAGTTTAATGCATACTACGCCACAAAAAGCCGCCCAAGTTATTGCTCTAATCGAAAATGGACTTAGTCAGCGAGCTGTTGCTAGACAATTGGATTTGACACGCGCAGCGGTTCGAAGAGTGTGCCAACTTTATAAGGAGACTGGATTCTTTCATAGGCGACCTGGAACAGGCAGACGGCGATTTACAACCGCTCGTGATGACCGCTTTATTGTGTCAACAACATTAAGAAATCGTCACCTTAATGCCGTTCAGGTGCAACGACAGCTCCGTGAGGTGCGAAGAGTGGCTGTTAGTCAGTAGACAGTGAGACGAAGACTGCGGGAAAATAACCTGACCCCTAAAACACCTGCGATTGGTCCAAATCTTACTCCAGCTCATCGGCAAGCACGCCTGCGTCTTGCACAGGATCATGGGAATTGGACGTTGGAACAATGGGGATCTGTTCTGTTCTCAGATGAGACGAAAATATGCCTCTATGGTAGCCACCGAAGAAGGAAAGTGTACCGGATACCAGGAGAGAGATTTGCAGAATGCTGCTTTGAAGAGCGGAGTGCTTATGGGGGTGGTTCCTGCATGATCTGGGGTGCAATTTCTATAGGAGCACGAACCGATCTTAAGTTCATTCGTAGGGACGACCGTGTTCACGGAAGAAGAGGTTTAACGGCTGCCAGATATATCGAGGAGATTTTAGCAATTCATGTGGTACCTTACGTCGACTACAGGGGCACACACCGCAAGAATCGTGCAAGATTACATTGCAGAAGTCGGTTTCCAGGTTATAGACTGGCCAGCAAACAGTCCTGACCTAAATCCGATCGAACATTTATGGGATGAGCTAAAACGAAGAATTCGAGCTAGACTTCATACCCCATACTCGATCCTAGAGCTTATTCTTGCAGCATAAGAAGAGTGGCTTAACATCCCACAAGCAACAATAGCAAATTTGATTAGATCTATGCCTAATCGTATGAGAGATGTTATTAGGGCAAGAGGAGGTCTCACCCATTATTAAAAAATTAAGTGTTAAGTTTTAAATTGTCAATAACCCTATTTATGTTAATAATAAAAAAGCTTAATTTGCTTAATGAATTCATTTCACTATGTTAAAATAGGAAGCCGAAATAAGTTTTCATAAATTTTATACTCACATTAAAGCATATTAAATTGTCTTTCAAACAGTATATTTGTTTTTGTGATCTGATGAATATTTCTTGAAAAAAATAAAGTTAAAGTCAAAAGTTTACAGTGGGCCGATTTCTATGCATGCCAGTTTATATATATATATATATATATATATATATATATATATATATATATATATATATATATATATATATACTTTGATATAAATACAAGGAGAAAGAAAATATTTTGTACATTTTTTTATGTTGAAAATTTGGTATACTCGTAATACTATTTTTGAAATTATTGCACACACTTTTAGTTTTCTCTAACATTTATTGTTCCTTTTTTAATTCCTTTGTTTTAAATATTTTTCAGGTAGCATCCGTCCATGGAAAACGAATTTTATATCAGCTATTTTTTTATTTCTTCCAAAGTGGTTAGTTAAGTGTTAAATTTAATATCAGTTCAATGCAAAACCAAATCTGCTATATGTGTTTAATTTTACATAATGCATTGTATTTATTTTATTTATTTATAGAATTTTAAGTTTAGTTAGGAGATTATATTTTCTTCAGTGAGCTTTCATTGCTGGCACGCGGTTGCGTGAAATTTTTTCTCGACTATTTAATGATCTCGATGATATTCAGTTACTATTTTTTGATAGATATATTTAATTATCGTTGAACCTATAAAATCGTAAACCAAGTCAATCAGCATAAACACAATTAGGCTCTGTTATATGGATTTCACTTGCAAAATTCTTGGTGTCGATGTCTGTTTGGATAAAAAAATGAATCGACTCTTATTGTTTTTATTATACACGCAACTTGCAATTGAGTATCACTGAATTTATGGTAGTATTTAGTTAAAAATGATTTAAAGTTGGTTTTTATATATGAAAAAGTAGGCAGTCTTAATATTTTATTAATAATCATTGTGTCAAAAAGAAACTACGTTATCAATTTATTAACTAAATTTATATTTATTACAAATAAAATAAGCCTGAGGTATTAAAGACAAAAACCTATGTTTTTTTTTATTTTTGTATAATTGAATGATATAGATGCAAAATTCACATTCTCCACGTTTCTCAACTATTTGAAAAATGAGAAAAACTATTTACTATTGAAGGTCATGGTATAATGCTTCAACTTTTTTGTGTAATAACTTCGTTGTAATAGAAACTGTTTGCCTAAACTTTATGGGGGTATTTAGTGAACATTGTTTTGTAAATTTTATTTAAAATTCAGACAATGTGAGTTTTGTACCAAAATTTGGTTAACTGTGAGTTTTGCACCAAAATCTCATGGATAATGTTAGTTATGATGCAAAATATTTAAACTTTGCTTTATTTATATTTTAACCTTAAATTAAAAACTAAAACCAAAAAAAGATGATTTATATTGTTGATTTTTGTGGGTTAGAAATAAAAACAATAGATAAATTATTTTATTTCAATTATAATTTTACCAAATCATTAAATTTAGTTTACAGTGTTATGATGTTTTACTCTTCAAAACTAATTGTTATTTGTTTTGTAAATCAGACTTGCTTTGATTGTTTTACACTGATTAGAATAACGTATTTTTAAACATTAAGAATGTTGACTTCTTCGATATGTTCACAAACTGACTCGGGTTCTACATTCTTATCAGCCCCATCGATGACATTTTTGTAGAAGAGTAAATTCTCATTGTCCCTCCACTGGTCCCCATAATGCTTCTTCAACAAGTTGTTGACGTCAACTTTCTTCACTGGTTTCGTCGAGTTTGACGAAGGAATCAAGTTTGGGTTCATGTTGAAAAGCAGTTTTCCTGGCTTGGTTAAAGACTTTGCCACGCCCAAGTACCCAGGTGCATGTTTAGAAAGTCAGAAACAAGCCATGGCCACGACTATTGAATTTTTGTTCTGGACCCCACATTCATCACTCACTAATCGCACAGTAGTAATAGGCCTTTTCATTTCTGTTGTTTCAAAAAGTGTATCAAAGAAGTGTATCAAAAACAAACGAAGCAATTTCATTAGATCCTTTTTTAAACTTGATTTTTGTCCAAATATAGGATGTCACATTATCTGGAGTCAGTTTACTTTTAGAATTGTCTTTGACCACAGTGAAATTGTAAAGGTAGATTTGCCTACTATAATAAGTGGCTTGATCTGGTAATTTGGGCAACGGTAGGTTTTTTTGACAATCAAAACAGAAAATCAAAATTTTTGGGTCAGTGCATTTTACTGATTCAAAAAAAGCCTTAGCACCTAATTTATGAACACGTTTTTCAGTCATGAGCTCTTCTTTTTCGTTGCCTTGCTGTTCGTGTTTTAATCGTTCATCTAACTGCAGACAAGTAGAGCAAACGTCTACCCCAGGGGACCCGAAGCCATGATTGTACTTCGTGTTGAAAATTGACCTAAAGTACTAGTGTTACTTTCAAATCACTCTGATCTTCTGTGAGTGAACTGATATACATTTTCCACATTTTTCTAATATTTAAATCAGCAGAAAGATATTTTCTGCTCGTATGTTTGGCATCGTAATGAGGCTCTGGACATTTGAATCTATTTATAAAATTCATTACATGCGTTTTCTTATGAAAACTTTTAGTAGAAACCCTGTCACCTCCTCTGATTTCTTTACTAAGCTGACCGGTTTCTCTGAAACGCTTCAAAATACCATTTACCCGAGATCGTGAAACCTGAAGTACACCTATGAACGTGTTAAGGCACACAGGCATCATGGATTTATCTTTTAAGCATATAAAATATTTGGTCCTCATAGGTCGTTTTTTGTACCGTCCAGAAGTTGGTCGTCTTCTTTTAACTTCTAATGATGAGGAAAACTTCAGAAATAAAATTATCTTGGTAAACCTTATCTTTTTGAGAGTAGAAGTTTTGATGGAAACGTCTAATGTCTTGGAAAGGAACGGTAGCGCATTGAAATTGTCTTCCTCCATGGTTACAAGATTCGCAGAGTACTTATACAAGAAAATTATTATTAACTTTCTATTCTTTCACAGTTAATGAGCTAACAATATTTTTCTTGGTTCGAAATGTAGTGAAAATTACTTAAAAACAACTTTGATAAGGCTAATCTACTAATATTTTAGACTAATATCAATTAACCTTGCTACTTTAGATTTGTTTCGTTTCCACTGCTATGAACTTATTTTCTTTTTCCTTGTTTGACCATTTGAGGGCTCTCGTATTATTTAAACCACAATCATAAAAGCGTTAATAAACCTTAACAAGCACATGTAAATACCACAAGTGAGGAGAGGTTAAAAAAACCGTTGACAAAACATCACCAGAGTGACGAAAATCACGTGATATGCCCTACGCAGTCTGATTGGTCGAATTGGAGAATGTTAATTTTGCTGCAAATCATGTGTTGGATAATGTGACTTATGTTTCAGAACTTCATTTTCAATATGGTTTTTCGATATTGAAATGTGAGTTTTGGTTCAAGATATCATTACGGTTCGATTCGCCTTTAAAAGACGAATTTATTGATATACATAACTGAAAATTTGGAGATGTGAATTTTGTATCTACACTGTCATTATATACCTATTAAGGAATAGCCTTAATGTAAAAGTATTATAAACTGTTAAAGCAGGGAATATATGTATCTCATTCAACCCGTTGTCACCTTTTTTTCTGTTTAACTTCTCTTTGATGGCCAAGTACAACCAGTATCTTTTCATATGAACGGAATAGGTATATGAAGTTATAAAAAATCCCGTCTATTCTGTATTCTCTCTAAAACTCTGAAAAACATCGTGGGTTGTATGCAATAGTGGCACAACACAAAAAATTTTTCAAATCAGGGGTTTAAAGTTTGTGTGCCAATAATTTTGTCTTATTTGTTTTACTATGTAGATTGGGATTTTTGAAAAAAAAAAATTGGTTTATTTGCGAGTGCGTTAGGTAGCCATTAATGAATTGTAACACAGACTTTTAATTCAATCCTTATTTTGAGTGGTGCCACTATTGCATATCAACATTTTGTCTTTCAAGACTAATTAGGGCAAATTTTTGGTTTAACAATCGTTTAATTTTTGTATTTGTGTAAATTATGTAACTTAATGTATAAAAACCAACATAACAGAGTAATTGTTACGAAATATGTCAAAAAAACGAAATTCTAATAAAAGAATTCATGTGAAGTGAACATTGGCACTATTAACCTTATTTACAAAATTTATTTATAGAAAATATGTAGCAATATAAAATATTATTTATTTAAAAATAAAATAAGTATTTATTTCCATTATTACATTTAGAATTTGTGTAACCATTCCGAATCTTATATAATTTTGTTTTGAAAGAACGAACAAGAAAAGTATTTTTGAAGTATGTGTAAATTTTTTTCCAAAAATTTGTTTTTCCAACTTTCCTAGTTTTTTAACTTTTAAAGGAAAATGTTGTATATTTCCACCAATGGGATCCCTATTTAGTAGTGGTAATTTATACACATGAGGATGGCTTTGTAAGCCGAAAGCGCTCAGCTAGGAATTAAAAATATTTTACACACCCTACAAAAATAATTTTCTTTCCATTCTTCCATTTGTCATAAGTTTATACAATACCATATTAGTCTTTTTCAATCATTTTATTTTGCTAGTATTTTTTTCTTCCTGAAATTTTCACACGAAATATCCAGTATTATAATTTTTAATCAGGAGACATTCTGTTATAATTATATGCTACTGGGATAACTCATACAGTGGCTTCTATTAGAGGAAAAGGACAAAAAAATCTTCCTTTTTTTATTAAATTTAAATTTTTTGAAATATGTGAGGAAGACGAGATATCGCCAGGTATGTTAAAATATTTTGGATGTGAAAGAACGGAATGGCTGTTGAAAATACGTAAGGAAAAATGGAAAGGACCACAGATATCAGATTACTAAATATATATATATATATATATATATATATATATATATATATATATATATATATATATATATATATATATATTATATATATATATGTATAAAGGAATTATCAGGTAAAGTGGTCTCTAATAAAAATCTTTGGCTTCTCCAAGAAACTCAATATTTCGCTATTTATTTGATAGCTTCAAATAATTAGCGTACATTTTTACAGGGAACTCCTGATAAAGCTATCAGGAAATAATATCGCTAAATAGCGAAATATTGAGTTTCTTAGAAAAAAAAACAGATTTTTATTAGAGACCACTTTACTTCATTCGTATTTATAAATTATTTTTTGGTCGAAATAATTAGTGGTAATATAATATATATATATATATATATATATATATATATATATATATATATATATATATATATATATATATATATATATATATATATATACAAGCTATCCGATTCCGAAGAAGCTGAACCTGTTTTCACTTAGATAGAAGATCTTTTTAGTGTGGGGGTTCATCACACTTTCTGGGTTTGGTTTTACAGTTTCTAGTGTGATTTCGCTATTTCCACTAGTTTTCTCCATTATTATATCTCTTTGATTGTCCTTTCTATATTTCTAATTTCCATACTGCTTCAGTCTTCTTCCACTTGTTGTGTTCATCTCAGTTTAGGTCTGCCTCTGGTTCTTTTACCTGGTGGTATCCATTCCGTTATAACCCTTCTCTTCTCATTATGTGTCGATACCATTTTATTCTTTGTGCTTTTATTGTTCTAACTATGTTTTCTTGACCCATCCATTCGTGTATTTCGTGAATCATCCATTGTCTTGTATCCTCTTTATTTTCCCTCTTTGGTCCCAGTATTTTTCTAATTTCCATCTCAAAAACTTTAAATTGCCCTTCTTCTCTTGCTGCTAATGTAAATGTTTCTGCAACATATACTACTATTGGTCTTATGGCCGTTTTGTAGATTTTCATTTTTGTGTTTCGGCTTATTTTCTTATCAAATTCTATAAAACGCTGTGTTTACCGCTTGAATTCTTCTTTTTATATCTACACTTTCATGTCTTGTGTTAACTAGTACTCCCAAATATTTGAATGTTTCAACCTCTTCGAAATTGTGTGCATCTATTGTCAGTTATGTCATTTGTGTTTTCTTTTTCTTGCTTACGTTCATGTATTTTGTTTTATTTTCCTTCATTTCCAATCCTCTCAGTTTTATTTCTTGGAAGGTTTTCTTTAATGCCCTTTTATCTGTTGCTAGTATGGCTATATCGTTCACATATTCTATTATTATACTGCATTCTTGTGTATAGTTCCTGCGTTTGACAGCAGGAGCAATAGTACCGATGAAAGCGCATCTCCTTGTCTTACTCCATTTTTTATTTTTATTATTTCTGTTCTTTCTCTTCTGGTCTCTATTGTTGCTGGGGAATCTCGCATTTTCATTACTATCGTTCTTATAATTTTATTAGGTATATTACTCTCTTGTAAGCCTTGGGCCATTTTTCTTCTGTTTAGTTTGTCAAACGCCTGTTTAAAGTCTCAAAAGTATATGTGTTTCTTCTTTGAACTAGTATATTTTCTCTATCACTTGTTTTACCATGGATGTATAGCTTTTACCGTGGATCTTTCTTTTCGAAAACGGTACAGGTAATCTTCTTTCCTTTGTTCTGCATAAATTGTTAGTCTGTATCTAATTATACCAGTAATTACTTTACACGTTACATTCAGTAAATTAATTGCTCAGTAGTTTTTGTATATTCTATGGTGTCTTGAAGCATAGGGAGGCGTAGAATGTCATGGCTGCGCAACCTGAGAGAGTGGTACGGATGTACATCAAATGAACTTTTCAGAGCAGCTGTCCGACAAATCCGAATAGGTATGATGATTGCCGACCTCCGCCGCGGAGATGGTACTTGAAGAAGAAGATGGTGTCTTTGTTTTTGGGATTGTGGGATTGGGTATAATTTCATTCTTCGGGCTTTATTTCTTTGCTCCATATATTCTGAATTAGTTCATAAATCTTTCTGATAGTGCCTCCCTACTATATTTTAGATCTGCACCTATTCCGTTAAGTTTGCAAATTTTATCTTTTACTTCTGTATAGGTCAATACTTCTTCTTCATCTTATTTCGTGCTCATTATTGTTTTTTTTTTAATATACGATATTTAATCCTCTCATTCTTTCATTTGTCGATTTCTTTTGCCTAGCTTTAGTTAATATTTCCTAAGTTTTCTCTTTTTTAAGAATCCTCTTTTATATCTATTCGTTCGAACCACATAATATAACGTTAATTTTCTGTGAAATCGTGTTATTACTACTTTTTGTGTAATTGCTTTTTTTATTTTTCTTGTTTCAGTTCGATACAACTTTGTTTTCTCTGTTATCTTTTGAGACATTAAATCTCGTTTGTTCTTTCTACCTATTCATTACCTAGTTTTCTTTCTACCTATCTCATAGGTATGTTTACATATTAGTTTCGCTGTGTTATTTAAAAATATCGTAAATATCCTTAAATAGTCACAACTTACTGTGTATCAAATACTTATTTCCATTATATTTGTTTGGCATTTTTTACAATTTGGGGAACAAATATGAAATTTAAAAACAGAACGTGTTTATGAGTTCCTAATACATTTATATTTCAAGGTAAATTATTAATTATAACAGATAAGATTATGAACGTTGTAATTGTGATTCACAGTCCCACTTATTTGCTAGGACAGTATGACAATTATAAATTTAAAAATATGCCCTTTAAAATAATACTTATAGCAACTAAAAAAAGTCGTTGATAAGTTATTATTTTAAAATAGTATATATCTTTTAGACGTACCTAAATATTGAATATAATTCTCGGTAGCGAACTAGGCTTTTGAATGTTTTTTATCCGTCTATTCGGCGGAAAATGTCCGACGGACTACTAAAACACTAAGACTCAAAGCTACAAACTTTCATTATTTGATTAGCATAGAATAGTCAATGTATGTATAACAAAAAAATTCCTAGCCATTCTCCCAGGCATTCTGTTTATACATCTTGCCGCTATTTCTTCTAAATTGTCATTACGGTGAAAATCAAAAAGGATTCTTGTTTATCAACTGAAGCTTGTTTGTTATTACCTCCACGGCCAATTTCCTTTGTAGGTACCCTCAGACATTTTAGATAGGCTTCGTGTCTGGTGAGATGCCGGGTCATTGTAATAAAGATATTTCTTGCCCCATTAAAATTTTTTAATTGCTTTTAGCCGTATTACCAGATGCTCCTTCCTACATAAAGACCTCGCGACTATTACCAAACCATTCGTTCATTTGTGGAACCAATATTTTTTCTATCTTGCTACCATGCTACAGGACCGGTATAAAAAGAGCAAAACTCTCTTATACCGGTCCTATAGCATTTTTTCTTCTACCACATATAAACTACCCATTTCTTTGTCACTCATTGCGGACCAGATCATTGCTGAGATGGGATGTTTAATAGTTTTTATTACAAATTTCATTTTTTCCCTTGGGCATATTCGAAAAATTTGGACATTATCATCCATAATTTAATATGTTGCTCCATCACAAAGCAAACCTTCAAATTCGAATAAAAATGAATGTATGAAAACAAAATGATTTCTATTAACTTACTTTTTGACAATCAATCAATAGTCGAGTCTTTATGCAAATTGGCCTAAGATAAGCGTTTCTTGAACATTTATGGTGTTAGTTTTAGCTTCTTAAGAGACCTGCGACATTTGAATCCCATGCTGAACAAATTTCGGCATACAGTGGCCACCAATACTGAACACTCTGCTTCATCCAATATATTCCTTATAGTATAAGTATCTCTATGGGTGGCTCTTCTGTGTTTTACAGCCAAATTCTTGTAAATTCGTTGACCTCTGAGATTGACTAAAAGCTTTCTGCCGTGCCTTTTATGTAATTTTAGGATTATTTATTTATTTATTTCTATCTTTAATTTAACCGAACACAATTTTCTTTTTTTTTGGGAAAAAAAGTTTTAATCAGAGTTTTAGTTATAGATCTGGATATTATTTAAAGGGAATGTTTTTTGAATATAGTTGTACTGGTTTGACTTAAATGTGATTGGAAGCACAAAAGTGACTGGAACAATACTTCTGTTCAAATGACTATCTTAACTATATAAAACTGGTAACCTATATGCAGTAAATAAATGCTTATTTTAGAATTCTGTATCAAATTTTACAAAAAAAAAATCCGTTACAATGCACCTTTGATACATTTTCATCGGGCTCTGTTATGACAATTTGTGTTTCTCAGCTTATCTCTAGTTTTTTTGAGAAATAGGCATCTTCAATTTTTGAGGCAATT